ACAGTCTCAGGAAGGGAGAGAAGTGAAACGTGTTGGCCGAGATGAACACCAGCTTCCCCTGGCAAGTGAAGTAGAATTAAAACAGCAAAGGCAGGAAGAGCGTGCAGCACGGCAGAGGCAGGAGGAAGAGAAACGACAAAGAGAGCGTCAAGCTCGAGAACAGCTGGAACATGAGCAGAAAGAGCAGGAAGAGTGGCTGAGGGCTGAAAGGCAGCGGAAGCAAGAAGAATTGGCAGCAGAGCAGGAGGAAGTTGCAGCCAAAGAAGCAGCAGCAGCTGCTGCAAGGAATAAGGCAGTTGAGGCTGCAGCAGCAGCAGCCCAGATGATGCCTGTAGAGCCTAACTTACCTGTGAGTGCATAAAGATTCTTCTCTGTATCAAAGTGTTATTTTTTACTGTTGATCATCCAATTCAAGGCCCAAGAGCCACTCAAACAAGAAGTTTACTAAACGATGTTGCTGTATGTAGATAACAGTTGACCCTAGATTTGAAGGGGCTAAAATTGTAGTGATCAGGGAAGCATCCTGTCGGGAGCCAGTTCTACAAAAGAAGTTGTACAAATGGAACTTCTTTCTTACTAATGGAATCTGAAGAGAATAAAGATCATTCACACTTGTGTATGTGTCAGTCTTATTTACACTATTTACATTGTCCAGACTGTTGTCCTCATCTTTAGTGCCATATTCTTGACATTTCGGCCATTGTACATTCTAGCCTTCTTCAGGATCTGTCTATATTTCAGAGAGGAGGTACTGTAACTATTTACACTATTTACATTATTTGAACTGTTGTTCTTATTTTAGTGCCATATTTATGACGTTTCGGCTGTTATACATTCTAGCCTTCTTCAGGATCTGTCTATATTTATGAGATGAGGTACTATAACTATTTATGCTATTTACATTGTTCAGGCTGTTGTCCTCATCTTGAGTGTCAAAGTCATGATGTTTTGGTCATTGTATATTCTGGCTTTTTCAAGATCTGTTTATATTTCTGAGATGAGGTACTGTAACTATTTACACTATTTACATCATTCGGACTGTTGTCCTGATCTTTAGTGCTATATTCACAATGTTTTGGCTGTTGTATGCTTTGGCCTTCTTCAGGTGATATACGTTTGCCTAGTGGATAATAGCATTGATTGAAATAATCCTAAAATGTGACTAGACCCAAAGAGGTGTGTGTTCAATACCTGGCCACAGTAGAGGGAATAAAAATTTTGAGATTTAAGTTACTAACAGGAATTAACTGAAGCTGAGATATCCATAAAAAGCATGGTACATGGAACTAGAACAATCTACCTTTGTGTACTAAATAAAGGGTTTGGTTTGAAATTCCAATGTATATCACCTGACGAAGGCTGGTGAGTACTACAACTGAAACATTGTAAAGATGGCAGTAAAGATAAGGACAACACTCTGAATGATGTAAATAGTGTACATAGCTACAATACTGCATCTCAGAAATATAGACAGATCATGAAGAAGGCCAGGGCATAGAACAGCTGAAACATCATGAATATGGCACTAAAGAGGAGGACAACACTCTGAACGATGTAAATAATGTAAACAGCTACAATACCTCATCTCCCAAATACAGACAGATGTTGGCAATCTTAGTTGTAATGGTCTGAACTGGTGGAACTATGGCATATAGCTTGTCAGAACATTTTCCAAGGAAATAGCAATAGAGTATGAAGAAGTTGTCAACATTTTGTCTGTGTGGAAAGTGGTTGTAGGGTGGAAAACAATTCATTAGCCACAAGGCCCTGTAGATACTTTTAAGCTCAAGCAAAACTGAAAAGTAAGGATTGTGTAGCTACAGAACAGATATGGCAGCAATATTCCATTTTTGGTCTTATCTGATTCTTGTAGAAATAGAAGTTAAATACTTTTTGAAATGGTGTAAGGAACCGACCATTTTTCCAGCATCTTTAGAGTTGGATTGAATGTGCCGGTACCTCATAAATAATGGACTATTCCACATTTTGATTGCATGGAAAGGGGTGGGAAATGACATTACTTGGTTTCATTGAGAAAATGAAAGAAAGGAAAAAGAAAGAAAACAGAAGTGGAAAGAGAGAATCAGATTAAACTGAGAATAACAGATACTATACTTTGATCTTTGATAAATAGGGGGATTTTTAGTGTGCCTACATCGCTACCGAATATGATACAAGGTCAAGATTTAAAGTGGATTTAACAGCTATACCATGGAAAAATTGCCCAAGCCCTCTCAGCACTTCCTCTTTACGGGACACTTCAGGTGCTGGGCAATAAACCCAGCCCCCTCCTGAAGAAGAAGCACTGCCTGAAAGGTTAGAACCCTTGTGGCTTGTGCTTAAAATTATTTGAACCTTTCAGAGCCAAAAGGCTGAGAGGGGATGGTGACTGATAAACACAACATTTTTCAGATGCACAGTATTGAATGATGGAAAATGAGTAAAGCAATCGACACAAATCCAATTACAATAAATTAAATAAAATAATATCGTCTGCTGAATTATTATTTAAATTATTATTAAGAGAAATGTTCATAAGATGAGGTTTTAATGTCTCCTGCCAATACCTCATAAATAACAGACTATTCTGTTTTGATCTCGGGGAAAGAGAGGAAAAGACACTACTTGGTTTCAGTAAGAAAATAAAACGAAATAAAGAAGTGGAGAGAGAGAATCAGAGTAAGTGGATAAGAACAGATACTACATGTTGATCTAAGCTAATAATATAGACTTGTTTAATATCACCTATCAATATCTCATAATTAACGGACTATTCTGTTTTGATCCCATGGAAAGACGGAAAAGTTATATCAGTGATGTGACTTGGTTTTAGTGGGAAAATGAAAGAAAGAAAGAAAGAAAGAAAGAAAGAAAGAAAAAAAGAAGGGAAGCTAGAAGTGGTTAACATCTGTTTCAGTGAAATGGGAAAAGTTGTTAATTTCAAATTTTTTTCATTTGTACCCCCTTACTTCTCAAAATAATGACCAGTATTCATATTTATGATTGTTATTGCAATATTTTGTTAAAGTTGTTAAGCTCAAATATTTACACAATACAATAGAGGAGTTTCTAAGTATATATTATTGTTGGAAAACTCACCATGAGCTTACTGAATCACTAACTTAAGAATTAAGTTTAATCAGAAAATTTCAACACAAAAACAAAAATTTTCATGGGTCTTTCAAGTTAAATATAAATGAGGGGCTGGTATTATGGGATGTCAAATATGGTAATTCTTATAGGCTTTTTATTTCAGGTTAGCAATTGTTTGCCATAAGAAATATATCTCTTTGCCTAAAATCTAAGCCAAATATAAACTATTTTTAAAATTCCATTGCTGATTCTGATTGAGACTTCTGATTATGAATTCCTTTAGATCTATTCTGTTACTTTAATAATTCAATATCTATTTTCATCATCTTCAGAAAATTTAGATATCTTTTAATCAACACGCTTCGATCTTCTGATCAAAATGACAACAAACATCAAATTATTGTATGAAGCAAATATTCACTTTTAGCAGATTCTGGTTAATTGGGACACTGATAAATCAAGGTATACTTTTATTTGAGCCAAAACCATTCAAGTATAACTCTAATAATCTTCAACCACCAAGCTGCTTAATTGAGCCAATGATTAATCAAGATATAAATATTTTTAGCCTAAACAAATCATTTATAGTTATAATTTTCTCCATTTATTTTATCTTACGGCTATTTCATATTGAAAACACCAGTTCTCATCTGATCACAGAAGTTAAGCAATGCTGAGCCTGGTCAGTATTTAGATGGGTGAACACTTGAGAATACCAAGTGATGTAAGTTTTATAATTTGTATATAGCCCTGGCAAAGCACATGCTATGTAGCTGAGGAAAAAATCATTCGTAGTGACTCAATGATTCTGACTTTGGTTGGCTTCTTCATTTCAAAACAACAGTCCTCTTAATGGGGTCAGTACGATCCAATCAAAGTGACTTTCTTCTTGGTTATTGTGGATTTGTTATTAGCAACCATTTAGAGTATAGGTATGTCTATATGTGCCATTTAAAGTGTGCAAAAGTTTGCATACTCAAAATTATATGATTAGACAGGAAGCAAAGAAGCATGCTGATGAATTATGACATCTCATTATGCAAGTATTTAATGTAGACACTCCATTATTTTCATGACATATCAAAACTGACGTTGTTGATGTACAATCATTTAAGAAATTATGGCAAAATAAACTTAATAAATATTTCAAATTATTTAATATTACAGTAGTTCAACATCTTATTACATCTGTTATATCTATGTCATATCTTTGTCATATTTATGTCATATATTTTTAATATTTATCTCAGATCTATGTCATATCTTTGTCATATTTACATCATATTTATGTTATATATTTGTCATATGTTCAACATCTTTTATCTGTTATATCTATGTCATATCTTTGTCATATCTATGTCATATCTTTGTCATATCATTATCATATTTAAGTAATATCTTTGTCATATCTTTGCCATATCTTTGTCATATTTATGTCATATCCTTGTCATATTTATGTCATATATTTATCATATTTATTTCAGATCTATGTCATATCTTTATCATATCTATGTTATATCTTTGCCATATCTATGTCATATCTTTGTCATATCTATGTCATATCTTTGTCATATTTATATCATATCAATGTCATATCTTTGTCATATCATTATCATATTTAAGTAATATCTTTGTCATATCTTTATCATATCTATGTCATATCTTTGCCATATCTATGTCATATCTTTGTCATATCTATGTCATATCTTTGTCATATCATTATCATATCTAAGTCATATCTTTGCCATATCTTTGTCATATTTATGTCATATATTTATCATATTTATTTCAGATCTATGTCATATCTTTATCATATCTATGTCATATCTTTGCCATATCTATGTCATATCGTTGTCATATTTATGTCATGTCTATGTCATATCTTTGTCATATTTATGATGACAAATATTAAATGTTTTTTTCAGATGTTTTGTCAACAAATTTATTGAATTACTATAGTTTTTTAAATAGTAAATATGTTATTTAAGTAATTAAAAGGGAAAAATTATTTTATTTGTTTTGCTATATATACTCTACTCAAACTGAAAATGTATGCATCTATATTTAATATGAAATTTTATTTTTGTTACTTTACCTAACGAGAGTTGTCAATCTGCTTTGATTCCATTGTGCTGCAGTTAACCAGAATCTTTTGCTTTCTTTTTCAATATTTTAGAAATAACTTTCTTCTTTCCATATTACTGAAAACATTATCAATTTTCAAAAGACACCAGTAACTTGAACTTTATTTTTAATTCCCCTTTAAAAAGAAAACAAATCTTTGACATTTTTTGCATTTTTTTTCTTTCAGAACAACACAGAAACAAAAGAACTGGAAGTCACAAAAAACAAAAGAAAAGAAGAAAGTATGGCTTCTGTTTCCTCTTCATCATTTCTTTCATTTTGATTTCTTTCATTTTGATTAACTGTTTATCTGAGGCTTTCAAGACATTGGTGAAATAATTTGAAATAAGAATATTTCTAAACACTTTGAAACAATGATTTCTGCAAATTATTTGAAAAATGATGTCAGTTAATAATTTGCAACAATGATATCTGTAAAAAAATTCAAACAATGATGTCTGTTAAAAATTTGAAATAATGATGTCTGTAAATAGTTTGAAACAATGATGCCTTTTAATAATTTGAAACAATGATATCTGTAAAAGAAATTTCAAACAATGATGTCTGTAAAAAATGAAACAATGATAATTTAAAACAATGATCTCTGTAAATAGTTTGAAACAATGACGACTGTAAACAATTTGCAACAATGATGTCTGTTGATAATTTGAAACAATGATGTCTGTAAATCATATCATGTCACAAGTCCTGTATCCACTAAGGCCATAGAGACACAGCATGAGTGCATCTAGGGTAACTTAGCCTGACAGAGCTCATTCTCCTTTAGGCTGGTTTTGAATTCAGAATTTTCCTTCTTCTAAATTGGTTGTCATATCAGCCAAGAGAGTGCATTTTTTCACTGTCAGTAACCCATCACTAAGAAGATTGACATAAACACATTTTGTTTTGATTTCCTTACAGATTCATTCATCAGATGAATCTCATGACATAGTTAGAAATGAGGCAATGGTTGGGTTGAATAAAAGGAAATGGATAATGACGGATTCCATGGAGAAAAACAATGGATGTCCAATATTCGATACCCTTCTCTTCATACTATATTAAAATAGCCTTTAACAAATAAATATTGTATGAACCTTGATTATTCATTGCCAAGAAAATGCTCATTAGATAATTTCTACACATGCCATTCAAATCTGAACAAAACATTAATGATAATGATATGATTAGCCATTCCCTTAGATGGAAACATTTGGCATCCATTGACCAAATGGTTAACATGACTGTCAGTTGAAATTTATAGAATCTCTTTTAAACCAATTTTTCAGAAAATTAGGTTTATCAAGTCCAATAACTGTTATCGCTCTTTCTAGTAGTAATGGCAGTTTCCTTCCTAACCTTTTGTTTAAGGTAGTGCGGAAAGTCTGCATCTTGATTATAGCATTATCTTCTCTTTGAGTTACATATGCTCTCCATTTTAGTTGTTAAAATTTCTCAAGTGATGTGGTTTCTATTCTTTGTCATTCTCTGTAATGCCAAGAGAGTTGATGAAGAATGGTCCTCACTAAGACTTGAGAAAATGGCTGTATACATCTGAGAGTTTAGATATTTCTGAATGTGCTTGATGTCATTAATGACATCTGTATGAAAGTCTCGATCTGATAAAACTATTTAAGAAAACGACTCATATTCTTAGGTTTATATCAATTTGTGGAGTTGGCTGAAACTACCCCTGGCACAGTCTATTTTGTGTCAATTTCCTTGTCTCCAATACTAAATTTATTATAACTGATCAATACACAGATGTATTTGATGTGTTTAGTATTTACTAATTCTACATCCTGAATTTCTATGATGGATTAAGGGTAGGTGCTATCACTTTAATTCCAGATCACAGTTTCTGATTTGTAAAGGTTTATCTTGAGTCCTAATTCTATACCTATATATATATATATATATATATATATATATATATATATATATATATATATAATATGATAAGATAAAGTTAATTGGTAATCTGTAAATCTTGAGAGCTCAATGTAATAACAGCGCAAGTAATAATTAATTAACAAATTGAAGACTTCAGAAAACTGTGGCTTTCTGAAATCTCCAATTTGTTAATTAACTATATATATATATATATATATATATATATATGTGTGTATATATATATGTATGTATGTATGTACGTACTTTAATTTGCTTGTTTTAAGCAATAAACTTATTTTATCAGGTCATCCTATAAGTTCTGTCCAAATTTTGAATAAAGAAAACAAGTGACCAAATGTTACATTTAATTACAGATTCAATCAACAATGTATTTTCCCTGATTATCTATGACTTCCTTCCATCTAATAACAAGCTTACTAATTCCATTACTGTAAAATTCTTTTGGCTTTGATTTGAAGAACTCACAAATGTCAGTCTTAACCTCTTCCTGTGTTCCAAAAGCTGTTTCTTCCAAATGAGGAATTTTCTCCCAACCAAGTTCTTTGATCTTTTGTGACATGATTCTTGCTGTGTGGGGTCGTGCATTGTCTTGATGAAACATCACCTCTTTTCAATTTACTAGAGCAGGTCTTTTTTTCCTCAAAGCTTGGTTCAAATGCTCTAATTGCTGACAGTGTATTTGAACATTAATTGTTGCATTAGGTGGTAAGAATTCAAAGGGGATTATTCCTTGGCGATCCCACCAGATTGAAAGAAGGACCTTTTGCCCATGAAGTTCCCTTCTCGGCTGTGGCTGGGGTCCTTCCCCTTTACCAAGCCACTGTCTACGATGCTTAACATTTCAATAAAAGATCCATTTTTCATCGCCAGTCACAAGTCTATCCAAAAAAGTTGAAACAAGTTTGTGAGAATGGAGAGAAGAGCAGATGTCAACTTGGGTTTTGATGTTGTTTTCAGACAATTCATGAGGCACCCATTTTCCAAGTTTAGGAACTTTTCCAAGTTGTTGAAGATGACGATGAACAGTTGTATGGTTTGAACTGAGAACCACTGCCAATTCCTCACCTGATAAAGCAGGATTTTCTTCAAGGGCTGCTTCAAGAAGCTTTTCATCAAACTCAACTAGACGTCCGATTCGATCTTCATCTTCAAGGGTGAAATCTCCACCTCTGAATTTTGCAAACCATCTTCTGCAAGTTCTTTCATTCATAAACTGAGTGAATGTTTCTAGCCGCTTCGGCTGCTGAGTTTCCTTTCTTGAACTCATAAAGCATTATGTGCCTCAAATGATTCTTGGGTACTTCCATGTTAGCAGAATTTTAATCAAACAAAATTTAATTTTATTGTTCTCTGAAATAAAATTTGATCAGTTTAAAAGCATCTAAACATAAAAATAATGTTCAGCTCCATTAGACATAAAATACTCTTTAAATTTCGTTCATTTTAACAAAAAGTTAAAATTTGGACAGAACTTATGGGATGACCTGATATATAGGCACAAATAATAACACATTTACTACACCCCCACATATAAAAAAAACAACCAGCAAAATCTCTTGCACTCTCAACTATAAGATTGTATGTCCTAATTACTACAAAATAGCACTTATACAGAATTTAATTAATGGAACACAAATTAAAGCTGCCACAAAAAAGATTTTCTACACTGAACTAAAAATCATTAAGCAGACTCTCATTAATAATGACTTCCCAAATTGCATTGCAGATGAACAAATAAGACAATTTATCAAAAAACCTCAACACATGTCATATAGAACATGATACTTCCTCAAAAGACCCTAAATATATCAAAGTCTTATATTGTAACCAGAGGCATGCTAAGTACAAAAATAAAAAAAAAGTCATAAAAAGACTCATTAGTACCAATATATCTGCCATGGATACCAATAAAATTAAAATTAATCATATGTTATACAAAATACAATACAACCAATTTAATTATTCACAATAACTCCTCCTCACCAACTTAAGTATTATATAAAACCAACATTATATCTCAATTCAAATGTCCCTTGGGAGAATGTATCTCCAACAAGAAAAAACAAATATATATGTTGGGTATATGACAACTACATTATCAAGATGTCTTACTCTACACATGTCTGACCATTCGTCCATTGCAAGACATTTACATCAACATTCTTGTCCACATTCACAGTATAGAAAAACATTGATTGATAACAGAACTATCTTACAGCAAGAAAATAAAACATTAAAACTACAGATCCTTGAAGCAATCTTCATTAAAAAATTGAAGCTGACACTGAATAGAATCAGCTACGAATGCTGTAATAATGTTCTAAAATGCCTATAAAAAGAACAGTTTTCATGCTTTAATGTGCACTCAACCATGACATTCCAACATAAAAGAAAAAATTCCATAATGGATAACTTTTCACGTTCTAATGAATGCTAAAGCAGTGAAGCTGTCAGCTATAGCATTTAAAGACAAAAGAAAAATTCTGTAATGGACAACTACATAGTTGTTTGCCTACCAGTTACACTCCTGATGATGATCTCAGAAAGAGATGGAAAGTACTTTGGAAATAAAAGTGATTCTCACTGTTACAATGCATTTCTTGCCTTATTTAATTGCAATATACATAAAAGTATTCATGAATATGAAAGGATTATGATAAAAATAAGCAGACATAATGTTTGTAATATATTCAATCAGACATGACTAAAAAAGAATTTGCTGCCTAAATACAAATATATATATATATATATATATATATATATATATATATATAATAAAAAGGCTTAAACACTAATATTCCATGGTCATAATTTATTCCATTGGAATCGTAAATACGATCCAATTGTGTTGTTTTTCTGTTTTCTTTTTGAATTTGTAGGTCTGATGAATTGGATCGTATTTACGATTCCAATGGAATAAATTATGACCATGGAATATTAGTGTTTAAGCCTTTTTATTATATTCTTACTCTGTCCTGGACATTGAGTTCTACCTGGATTCTATCCTCTTGGAATTTTTTTATTAAAAAATATATATGCATGTGTATGCATGTATATATATATATATTTATATATTTTGCATATGTATGTATATTTACCACTAATATTATTATATATATATATATATATATATATATATATATATATATATATATGTATTAATTACACAACAAAATCCAAAATTACCTCCTATGGGGGGGGTATAGATCTATTTCAACTGACAAGAAGTGCATTAGTCTTATTCAACCCTGGTGGATAGACTGTGTTCATGTTGGAAATTTAAAACTTAACTTTGACAGCAGTTGGAAAAGTAATACAGAATTTTCCATTTTGATGGTTCAGTCAGACAATATGCCTGAGTCGGTGGTATGGGGAGAGTTGAAGGTATTTAGCCTTAAAAAGGAAGAGGTTTTATAAAATTAACACAGATATTGACCCCATGACATTAAATTGATGTTATATGAAGAAGGAAGTGTCACATTGAAACTAAAAGATGGCCAAAAAGGGAGATTTATATATAAAAAAATTTTAATTATATATAAAATAAGTTAAGTTCCTACTTAAAAAATAACAAATTATACTTAAAAATGAGATATATTAAAAAGATTAACAATAAATCATATTTAGATAAATTATATCAAATTTAAGTAAGAATATAATGAAAATATTTTATATTAAAGAATAAAAAAATTTATATTAAAGACAAAAATTTTAAGATAAAATAAATTATCCATTTTTAACTTTAAAGATAAGTTAAATTAAGTTATATTAAAAAAAAACTATACCAAGTTATATTTAAAAAAGAAAACTTGAAAAAACATTAAAAAATATATAGATAAAGAGGTGTAAGTGATAAAAAAAAGAGCATTCTTAGAACAGGAGACAATTTATAAGATATAATTAATATGGTGAAGAAATGGAAATATAAAAATTAGAATTAGTTAGACATTCAACATTTGAAGAGTTAGAGAATTAAAAAGTAATAAAGTAACATCTATATTATAGAAGTTCAAATCTGACTCTATGTTAACATTTTAAGACTAATTCATTCCTCTGATTTAATAGTTTGCTTTGATTTTTGTATTTTATTATTCTAATTTTTTCTTCTAAACACGAGTTACACCTATCTCTAAGACTATTGGGAGTACGAGCAAAACCTATAATTTTCCAGTCCTATAATTTTCCAGTCTGTCTGTGGGTTCAGACCTTTCTCCTTCAATTCCCAAAATGTCTTTGAAAGAGCTGTCTGGTATTTTAATTTAGGGTTGGTAAAAGAGTGTCTATAGTTATAAAATCTCTGTTTATATGCTCTGTTATAATAAATACATTGAGCTATTTTTGTGGATCAGTTTGAATATTTAATATTACTAAGATCAACTTGGATTATATACCAACAGATTTATTACTTTTACTATATATATACATACATTTAAATTTGGCTGGAAAGCATGGATCCAGAAGGGAATTCCACAAATGCTAAGTGTGAGAAAAGAAACTGTTAGTATAGAATCTCTGGCCTCATCCAGGCAGCCCAACAGCAAATTTATGCTAGTCTAGTACACTGCTTAAATTCAAAAAGTCTGGGTACCATAACAAAGAGCTTATCCGAACAATTACCATGAAAATATTTATATAAAAGACAGCATTTTTATTTACATTCAGAATAACGGTCCATACTTCAAATCTTAAGAAGTCATTATCATTAGAATGTTAGAATCAGGACAATTCCTCTTCCTTGAGATGCAGACAAGGTTATACCTAATGCCTGAAATATCTCAAAAAGAAGTGTCAATGGGACTTTAGCAATTTTTTACCTTTACCCATGTACATATTGTATCTCACTTTAAACTTGACCTTGTGCCATACTGTATTCATGTAGTCACACAGAAAATCCTCAAAACCTACATTTTTTAACATTTTATAATTGTTAATGCAGGCTCAATCCCAGGCAATACCGTTCACTCAGGAGGAGCAAGCAGTGTCCCCAAAATGGGAAGTACCAAAGAGACTAAAGTAATTTTACTCTTTAGCCCATGTATGCATAGGCTCCCCCACTTTGAATTTGACTTTGTGTTAGATTCAGTTTGAAGGGTTTCACAGATAAATTCCAAATTATGGAGTTTGTTTTCCTCAATTAAAAAAAAAAGTCAAATATTTATATTTTCTAGCCTCTTTTCTTATATATTTTCCCAACAAAAACAGGCGAACGACTCTTGCAAGAATTGGAATCTGTTCGAGAACAACGACGTGCAAAAGAACGACAGAGGGAAGAATTAGTAAAACGTGCCAAAGTTCTTCAAGCGAGGTCACAGAATAAAAGAAATCATGGTAAATTTCTTGGTTTGTCTGTCTTTTAAAGAAAGTGAGAACTTTAATAAGGTAAATGCAAATATGGTTTTTTTATGCAGTTGTAAATAACAATCAGCAATGGAACAGAGTCATAAAGGATCTTAGGGAGTGTAATGAAGTCGTTAGGATGAGTCAATGATAACTCAAGACTTGAATCTTTCAGACTTGACATTCATTTTTATTTCACTCCAGTAATTAGTCAGTTACTGTTATTTACTAATTGAATCTTTCATACTACGAGGTTGGCCAGATTTATGAATGTTCTTAAATTTAAAAATTTTGCAAAACCAATAACACTTTTGCTCTCATATATAAATACATGGTACAAAATAAAATCCTTGCATTTGCCTTGATAAAGTCCTTCAGAGTACAAAACACATCGGCTAAGGTAAGTTTTTTTTTTTTTTATTTTATATATATATATATATATATAATGTAAATATATATATATATATATATATATATATATATATATATAAATATATATGTCTATATAATATATATATAAATAAAATATATATTTTTAATAATAAATTTATAAAAATATATATATTTAATAATAAAAAAAAAAAATATATATATATATATATATAAATATATATATTTATATATATATATATTTATATATATTTTGATTATAGGTGCAGTTCAATTTATAATTACATGAAACATTCATACAAAAAACAAATATAGAGGTTAATGATTTACATGGCAAGAATACATCTTCGCAAACAATTTCAATAAGGTGCACTAACCCCGAACCTGTATATGAATGATATGATCCTTGTTTATAAATTCCAGTTGCATAAGGTCTTTTTTAGTTTTTACAAGCTTTCGTCTGTTCCTACAGACATCCTCAGGTATGGAAATAGATTTGTTCTTGTTTTTTACTTCTTGGTAATAAGAGGACAACGAAAATATAGATGTAATCCGAAAAAATGCTATGAGAAACGTGTTATTGTTTTGGAATGTGCGGTCGCAATGCTGAGTTTGAATTTTAAATTTTAAGGTTGTGCATTTTTGTACAAATATAGTAATAAGAGAATTCTTTTCTACTGGTAGATTTTCCGTCAATTTGGCATGAACTATATTGTTCAATAATTACAGGAATGTCACACTTATTATCCGAGAGTTGCACGTTGGATCAGTTATTTTAATTTTGATTATAGGTGAAGTTCAATTATAAACTAAACTGCACCTATCATATAGGGACAGGGATCACATAGGGATCATATCATTCATATACAGGTTCGGGGTTAGTGCACCTTATTGAAATTGTTTGCGAAGATGTATTCTCGCCATTTAAATCATTAACCTCTAAATTTGTTTTTTTGTATGAATGATTCATGTAATTTATATATATATATATATATATATATATATATATATATATATATATATAAATATATATATATATATATATATATATATATATATATATATATATATAAATATATATATATATATATATATATATATATATATATATATATATAATAATATATATATATATATATATATATATATATATATATATATATATATATATATTTATATATATATATAAATGTAAATAATAATGTTAAAAGCTCATATGGAAAATAAGAAGAGATGCTAAATTTTCAATCTTATGTTTTAACATTTGAACAAAGATAGAAAAAAAATGAATTATTGCAGTAAAAGCACCAATATATTTAAAGAATATTTTTTAAAATTATCCTAATTGCCAATTTTTAGTTAAATACAGTTTTTGTTAACGTTAAACACATCACATACATGTTGAAAGATGACGCTCAAGTGAAAATATATAAAAATCATATAAGAATATTTTTCAAAATGTATATTTTAAATCTGAAATAATATCTTTGTTCCTTGTTTTTCTCACTTTGTTAGCCCGAGATATCTGGAAGAAGAAATACTATGAAGAGAAGAAGAAAACGACTCCACTTGAAGAACAGTGTAATAAATTACGTCAGGAACTAGAAAGCATGCACCGAAAATTCATAGCATCTTTGGATCCTCCAAAAGAAAAACCAGCCAGAGTTTCAACAAAGAAACCCTCAGAAAAGGTCAGCCATTTTTTTACAAGGATGAACGGAGAATTTTCGCTCAAAGCTGATTTGGGGATGAAATGAGATTTTAAATCAAAACTTAAAATTCAGAAATCTATTTTCCAGTAGAAAGATATTAAAGCAATTCATGTCATTTTAGTCAGTGTAAAAAAAAATTGATATTAAATATTTTAATTGAATTACATTAATTAATTCAAACTTAATTTAAATATTAAATATTAAATATATATAACTATTAAATAAAAATTAAATATTATCAAATTTAATTACATTATTTACACTATTTACATTGTTTGGACTGTTGTCCTCATCTTTATTGTCATATTCATGATGTTTCAGTCATTGTACACTTCAGCCTTCTTCAGGTGTTAAACACTGGAATTTCAAACCAAACCCTTTATTTAGTCCACTGGGGTAGATTGTTCTTGTTCTACGTGCATTAATTCAATTAAATATTTAAACTTAATTCAAATATTAAATATTAAATGTATATAAACTATTAAATAAATATCAAATATTTAAATTTAATTGCAGTAATATAATTAATTAAATCAAGTTTAGTAATTATTAAAATTTAATTTAAACATTTGATATTAAAAATATATATATATATATGTATATATATATATATATATACATATTTTATATACACACACACACACACACACATATATATATATATATATATATATATATATATATATATATATATATATATATATATATATATATATATATATATATATATATATATATATATGGGTTATGGTGAAATAGCTTATTACATGGAATCTTAACGTGGTCTGTCTTTTATTCAAACATATCGGCTCTGAATTTTACATTAAGCTCTCTGGATATCATCCTCCTCAGGTTTACCCATACGGATTACCTAAGTTTGCATAAACTATATATATATATATATATATATATATATATATATATGTGTGTGTGTGTGTGTGTGTACATATTATCCTTCTCCATGTAAGGAATTAATAAGTTCATAACCTACTGATGTAAAAAAAACTTTGCAAAAGAAATATTTATTCTTCAACAAAACTCATTTTTTGTCAATGCACAAAATTTAGTGGGTAAAATATTACCATATTTTCCAACTTACAAGATGCTGTGGCTTGGAAGATGCACCCTAATATTGGAAAGAAATTTCTAAGAAAAAAAGTCATTCTCATAGAACAACACATTCACCATGTGTCCCTCATACACTGACGCCACATATTGTTTACATTAATCACTTGTCCAACTCTGTTTGTATGGCAATGACATACTAGTCAAGAGCAGAAAGGCTCCTGCCGCTGCTAGAAAACAGAACAAGTTTAAGCTTGTGGCTTGGCTGCAGGAAGATTTATAGTCTTGGAAATACTTGTAACAGCTAAGTACTGAGGTTACTTATATAAAAGGCTGAATTAGATAGACAGCTAACATTATAATGTAAATGACTCAATATACATACTGTTATGATGTTTATTTGGGGTTAGTAGAGACAAACGCCAAATAACACGTGTTAAAAAGGGTTTTAATAGGTTGGTAAAAAGGTACAGAAATCGCCTGAGTAGTCAATAACTAGCTCAGCTAAGAACTTCTCTGTCTATCTGTCTTTCCCTCATGTCAACTGACATGCCACTATTTAAAGTCTTTGTTCACAGACAAGTTCATCTTCAAGAGGGGTGGTAGGTTTCCGACACAACAAAATCCATGTCCCTATCAGTCAAACCAATTAGGTGAACATCCAATCTTACTTGAGCCTGGGTGTTGCCTTACATTCATCTTGGAAGATGCAGACATATTTTTCAAGAATAAAAGTGTGTCTTGTAAAGCAGAAAATATGGTAATCATTGAACAAACATTAAACAATGAAAATTTCAGATCAAAATTCAACTAATATATGTATCAGACTACATACTTATTGTTCCAACATCACATGTTCACAAAATTGTAAATCCATCCAAATTGCTTGGTTAGTGAGTCTCTTTTAAAATTTTAAAACTCAGTATCAAAAAATCAAGCTTCAAATACATTAGTATATATATATATATATATATAATAATAATTTTTGTTTAAAATATGATTCCTTTGCTACATAAGAGTTCTCATGTTTCAAAAACGAGAGCTGAAACCATAATTATTTGGATGGTTTCGGCTCTCGTTTTTGAAACATGAGAACTCTTATGTAGCGAAAGAAATCATATTTTTAAACAAAAAATATTATTATAATAAAGCTCTACTTCTGTATGGAGCACTGTCTTCTTAAAAATAAAAACAAAAATACTAAGGAACCCCGGATCATGCACCCATGATGTTAAAGGATGAAAGAAATGTGCTATAGCTGTTTAAATTTCTTTTATTTTCATTTCCCAAGTACTTTTGATCTTTATCGAAGACCATCTTCAAGGGTGCAAGTGATACAAAACTATATTTTGTTCATTAGTATAAGTATTTATATAAAAATGTGCGTTGTTTTCCATTACCGTAATCTTTTCATTATGCTTTTAAATGCAAAATGGTTGACCATGTGCTGAGCATTCATTAGAACGTGAAAAAATTATCCATTATGGAATTTTTCTTCTATGTTATAATGTCATGGTCACGCGTACATTAAAGCGTGAAAAAACTGTTCCTTTACAGGCATTTCAGAACATTTCTGCAGTATTCATAGTTGATTCTGTTCAGCGCCGGCTTTAATTTTTTAATATAAATTGCTTCTAGTATTTGTAATCTAGATTTGTTGTTTTCATGGTGTAGGATAGTTGTGTTGTCAATTAGCAATTCATTATATTGTGAATATATATATATATATATATATATATAGTGGCTGCCATCTTTAATCTTTGATCAGAGGAGCATTTTCTATATAAAAATTGTCATCAGCCTCATTATGGTGGGCAACTGAGGCGAATGAAGAAAACAGTAACCAGCGAGTAAATTCAAGCTCTCCCAACTGGTATTTCAAACTTGAGTCGTTCCTTCCTGAGTTCTGTCTCCAAATCACACTAACTGCCCGTTCTAGCCGTCAACCGTGAACGTCCTCGAAGAACTCGCCGACTTGGAAAAAAGTAGTTGTTTTATAGTTGTTCATGTACCCATAATCCCTTGCGTCTTCCTGTGATCCCATAATTCATTGCGTCCATGTCCCATAATGCATTGCGTCCATGTCCCATAATGCATTGCATCGTTATTGGATAAAATGCGATGCCAGTCCCCCCTCATTCTTTTTATGTTATCTGGCCGAGGATGGATTACGTCAGAGCGGTAAGTGCTTTTTTTTTCTCTCCTCATTTCAACTGCAGTAGCTTTACATGCTAAGCAAATACGGGCTCTTTTTGGCGGGGACAAGGCAAGTCGCGACCAGTTGTGCTCGTCCCAGGTTCTGTCTCATGTCCGCCACACCCCCTGATCTCCGGATCCACACAGATGACAGTGAGGATACGGTCTTTTGTTCCGGGTGCTCCTCCGAAGGGGGATTGGTTGAATTTCTTCATCAGAGGAGCTCTCATTAGACACGTCCCGATCTATTGGCAAACTACCGCTATCGGAGTGATTGGTTGTTGAATCCAACTCTATGTATATTGGCTGTTCACTATCCTCCGTGTCTTCTTCGTCAGTTGTGGGATTCGAGCCCAAAAAAGGGCGCAGGTCTCTAACATGACGAGGCGTTCCATCGACCCGCACTGACTGCTGACTCACCACCTCGGTCACGTCCGGTTCCAAATTTGGTCGTGCATTTACCACGTGGAGTCTTAACCCAGACAATGTCCCCTTCCTTGTATTCCCTTCGGTTATTTGTGATTCAGGCGGGGCGTCGCGTCGATGCCTCTCACCCGGACGTGGTATGTGTGCAGTACATCAGCCGGTGCCGTGGAAGGTGAAAAGGTTGTCCTTAGGGGTGACGTTATGCCAGTAAACCGCTTCCAAGACTGAACAATTTTTCCTGGCCGCTATGGTTTTGACGCTTCTGTGGTTGCGTTCCACAATGCCATTTCCAGACGGCACGTAAGCGCACCGGAACCTCAAATGCACGCCCCAGCTGTTTACAAATTCCCTAAATTGTCTGCAAGTGAACGTGGTGTCATTGTCAGTCAGTATTTCGGTCGGCGGGCCTCGTTCGTAGAAGACTGTCTCTAGCTGACGAATGACACCAGCAGAAGTCTTGCCGTCTCAGTGGCCGCCATACTGCAAAACGGGAGGGACCACAGTCAATGAGCGTAAGAAAATGGCTACCATTGCAATGGGTTACGTCCATTGCTAACCTGCTCCAGTTTTTTTCTCACACTCAAATTTCCTTTCTTCCAATGCACTGGTGCTGGATCGATCGATTGGCAGGCTTCACAGGTTCTGACGACAGATTTTACCAGTTCCTTAGACACCGTTGGATCTACAGTCCTAGCAAAGTACATTGTTCTTTTAACACCTGGGTGCCCACTCTGCTGGTGGATGTGGGTCACCTGACGTTTGCTCAACTGGCTCGTTGCGGTGACACAACTCACTTGCACCGGTTCTCCTCCTTTCTTGTGCATCTCAACCAGCGTTGCGGCACTCTGGTGAGGCTGTCAGCGCGGTTCTGACAAGATTTCACCAACGTCACAGTCATAGTCAGTGCGTACTCCTCCACCAAAGCTCGCAGTGTCTCTAAGCGCCGCCTCATCAGCATTTCACCCGCTGCCTTCGTGTTCGCGCGTCCTTCCTGTCAGGGGTGTCAGACACCCACCGATGCACATGCTGAATCGGTGACCACATGCATAACTGGTGCCTGCCACTGCAGGGCAAGATTCACGCCCTTGATCACCGCATCAAGCTCAGCAAGATTAATGTGTTTGGCATCATTGGTTGGACGCAACCAGCAAGCATCTTCCACGACGCTCCCATTCACCTCTAGTGCTACTCCCGTGGCCACGGAGCTTGCATCCACCCAAACTGTCATTTCATTGCCGTTCACACCAGTCTCCGCCGACAGGATCTGATTCCCGCACTCTGGCCACTGTTTCCTCCAGCATACGTCCAAGAGGGGCATCCTTTATCTCGTCGTCCCATCCTTTGGTTAGTGTGCTTGCATAACGCTTAATAAATGCAGTTGCCACCCTAAGCCAACCGCACACAGGGAAATGACCCACAAGTTTCCCGCACAAGGAAAATACGCTTCGGCGGGTCACCTTTTGAGCAATTTCTGGAACTTGACCCTCCCGCTTCCATCGAAGGGGTTGCTTTCTTCCCAGACTTGCAGACCCAGGACCTTAGTTCCGTCTCTCAATCGCTCCGGATCTTTACAGACTAGCCCGTAATCTGCAAAGTGCTGTCTTACACGCGCTGCAGAAACTAGGCCTTCATTTATGAAGATATCGTCGACGTATGCCGACGTGGCACTCTTAATGTCCTGATCCTGGGACGTTATCATGTCGATCACTGACTTCATGACAAGAGGTGCCACATTCAGGCCAAAACCCAAACGCGTAAGGCAAAAACGCTTGCCCTTAATGACCACTGTTTGAAACGGCCATAGCGATTTGTCAATGTGAATCTGTAGGTACGCATTTCTCAAATCCAACAGCGATACGTCAGCTCCTTGTCGTCGCCATTCTCGTAATTTCTGCGCACACCTCTGCGTCAGCCGTGAATGCGTCTACAAAGCCGTTCAACTCCCGATAGTCAAGTACCGGTCGGACCTTCTGTTTGTGTTCTTGTACGACCGCCATTAAGGGAATTAATCCTTTGGGTGGGCCAAGCTCTTTCTCAGGATATGGCAGTAGCCATCCGTCTCGCTGCCACCGTGCTAGTTCTTCATCGTATGCATCCCGGACGTGGCCAGGTACTGTGTACTCCTGTACTTTATTGACCAACTTGCTGGGTGAATGACCACTCGCCCACTTCCACAATGCAGTCCACGTTTTGTGCTCGGGTTAAACGTCACTCTAAAGTCAGGCTTGTTGATAACAATGGCGGCACATGTGTTCAGGTTTCCGAAACGAGCTTCGCCTGATTCGGTCAAGTAAACACCTCCGAGCACTTTGATTGCATCAATCCCCGAGAAGAAGATCGAATCCAGCAACTGCCCTTCCACGACCAGAACCTCAACAGTCACGGGCTGAATATGCTCGACGCCCAACTTAATTTTACCGTATCCACGGCACTTCAGGGTCTTCCCGTCGGCAGTCAACACTCCCACCTCTTCCTGCTTCCAGCAGCGACACACAGTCTTGCTCACCAGAGTCTGTGAGCATCCCGAATCCACTAGAGCTGTGCACTCTACTCCATCTACAAATACTTGTACGGTGGGTAGCTTCCGTTTTTACTTGTTCGGGGAGAAGGCTGGCGCTGACGCCTTCTCCCCTTGGGCATTCCCTGGCATTCTGAGGAAATGTGTCCGATGCCGTTGCATCGAAAACACCGCTTGTCGCGACCAGACCTCTGCGTTCTGTTTGACCTCTCCTGACGTCCTTGTGTACAATTCTTCGCCATATGGTTGGGTCCAGAGCACTTGTAGCAGGTAATCGTTCTGCTAACAGGTTTGGCAGGGGGAACCTCAGCTTCTGAGCGCGTTGGCTCTACGGATGTGGCGGCCAATACCTGGCACCCTTTGTCATCCGTCATAATAGCCCTTGCTCGGGTCAGAATCTGTTCTAGATTCATGTCGTCCATCCTGGAAGAAGCTTTGAGAAGCTGCCTGACATGATGTGGCAGTCCTGACACAAATGCACATGCCATCCACCGATCAGGTAGCGGTTCTCCTACTAGCCGCGCCAAACGATGCATTTCAGCCAGGAATTCATCCACAGTTTCCCCTGGGCGAAGACGCCGTCCCATAAATTGGTCGAACGCATTAAATTTGTCAGTCGCGTATGCAGTCATAAGGGCCCGTTTAATTTGTTCCGCGTCTGCCCTCTGCTCTCCACTGAGTTGTCTATATACAGCGAGGGCACCGCCTCGAAGTCGTAAAGGCAAGATGCGCTCGATCTTGTCCATGGCACAAAGTTCGCAGACCAATTCCACATTTTCTATCCATTCAACAATGGGCATATCCGTTGGGGCGCCGCTGAATTCTGGAATCAAACGGACGTCAAAGACTTTGCCTTCCATTTTGAAGAATCAATATGCCGAAATAGCTTGAGGCGAATGAAGAAAAACAGTAACCAGCGAGTAAATTCAAGCTCTCCCAACTGGTATTTCAAACTTGAGTCGTTCCTTCCTGAGTTCTGTCTCCAAATCACACTAACTGCCCGTTCTAGCCGTCAACCGTGAACGTCCTCGAAGAACTCGCCGACTTGGAAAAAGTAGTTGTTTTTATAGTTGTTCATGTACCCATAATCCCTTGCGTCTTCCTGTGATCCCATAATTCATTGCGTCCATGTCCCATAATGCATTGCGTCCATGTCCCATAATGCATTGCATCGTTATTGGATAAAATGCGATGCCAGTCCCCCCCTCATTCTTTTATGTTATCTGGCCGAGGATGGATTACGTCAGAGCGGTAAGTGCTTTTTTTTCTCTCCTCATTTCAACTGCAGTAGCTTTACATGCTAAGCAAATACGGGCTCTTTTTGGCGGGGACAAGGCAAGTCGCGACCAGTTGTGCTCGTCCCAGGTTCTGTCTCATGTCGCCACAGCAACCAATGCATTTAACGTATTATTTTGTAAAATGTCCCTTTTGACATCATTTACTCTGATCAAATGAAAAAACAATTCACTTTATATATATATATATATATATATATATATATATATATGAACGATATGCTGTAATATAGAGAACCTAGTATTTTTGAGCACTATTTTGCAAATTAAGCCTTGTGCCTGTCTAAACTAGGTTATCAAATATCTCTATTACAGATACAAAAATCTGAATTCCATTCAAGTTCATTACATACCCTTACATCCTTGGGAAAGGCATGGCTCTAACTCATCTATCCCCCCACATCTAGTCTAGGACAAGGAAAACTCTGAATTCAAAATTATATGTAGCCCTAGCAAAGCACATACAATGCCACTAAGGAAAGAATCATTCACATTGCCACAATGATCCTGATTATGGTTGACAGATACAATAATAATTATAATAATAATAATAATAATAATATACGACCATACATATATATGTAAAATTATTTAATTTTATCAATAAGAAAGTTCAATAGATATGTTAAGTAATAATTATTATTATCAATAAACATAATTATTATTATCAATAAAATATAGTTCAGAGTACTTATCTCTATGTATATATTTAGATGATATTCTTGATGAATGATATCTTGAAACTTTTAAGATGATTTTCTAAGAGTAGCTTAGGTGTGGCACAAGGCAGAAACTATGGGGCTTCCAGTAAGGAGTGAACTCACTATTCAGTTATAATTTATTTAGCGAGACAAGCTTGCTAACCATTAGATCATGTCAAACTCCCCATCTTGAAACATCATTTCAACCCAAGCAAGGTGATAAATCCACTAAGATGCAACAAGTTACTGAGTGTGAAAGAATATGAAAAAAAGAAAAACTTTATTAAGAAAAGAAAGCAATAAAAGGACAGGGATTTAAAAGACAAAGATAACAAGTGACATTGCATTTAAATTTTTGAAGATCAAAGTTGAGTGAAAAGCAAGAAGCCAGAAGAGAGTTCCACATGTGAGAAGTGTGAAAGAAGAAACTGTTAGCATAGAACTTACGGTTTCATCTAGACATCTGCTGCCAATCTAGTAATGTGCTTAAATTGATAAAGTCTAGACACCACAGAGGAAACTTCATCAGAATAACTGCCATGAAAGTATTTATAAAAAAGGCATTGGGAAAATGACTGAAGCCAAGATGCCAGATCAGCACCAATAACATTGCAGTTTCTTCTGTGGATTTTATCAAGAAACTCTAAATACATAGTGGAATCATCAGACCAGATATGGCAGCAATATTCACAGCATGGATGAATGGTAGACTTATAAATAAAATAGAACTTACGGTTACATCTTAGCCATTTCAACTGTAAAATGATGAGACCTTGTCGCCAATCTAGTCTTGTACTTAAATTCGTAACATCTAGGTATCATAGAGGAAAGTTCATCAGAATAATTACCATGAAAATATTTATAGAAAAGGCAAAGGGAAGCTATGTTAAGGCAGTGGGAAAGTGACTGAAGCCGAGATGTTAGATGGGCACCAATAACATTGCAGTTTCTTCTTTGGATTTTATCAAGAAATTCTAAATACATAGTGAAAGCATCAAACCAGATATGGCAGCAATATTCACAGCATGGATGAATTATAAATAAAATAGAATCTATGATTACATTTCATGATTTCAACTGTAAAATGATGAGCCTGTCGACAATCTAATACTGGATTTAAATTCCTTAATTTCAAAAAGGAAAGCTCATCAGAAAAATTTCTATGAAAATATTTATAGGAAAGACATATGAACTAAACAGCTTTGAATAAATATACCAAATAGATTGCTTTCCTTTCAGAATAACATTCTAATACAAGCGACCCGTTTGAAACATGCGACTGATGATCTCCATCAACGTGTGGAAAATGCCAAGATGAAACTGACTGCAGAATTGAAAGTAAGTCAGAAAAGAATTTATAAAAAGAATTTGATTTTGTCAATTTTGCAGAAAAAAACGATCTTGTGATTATGAAAGTTCTGTCTCTTGGAGAATTTAGTCCAATTAAAAAAAGGTTAAAAAAGGAATGAATGATGTGCCTAAAATATCAACCATAACTTTGACAATTTAAAATTTGGATAAACACTCATCAAATTATATCTTTGCCACATTTCTCAAGAAAGAAATATATCTAAATTTTCATTACAAGACTGAAAATATAAAAAAAATATTATTTTAGAAACTTGATAAAGCAGATACCTTTATTGGTGCTAATATAGCTTGAGGTCTACCTCTCGTTTCATGTGTTTAGAAAATGTGAGACAGATATAAATATCCATGTTAGACCACACCTGACCTGATCCATGTTAGACCTCACCTGACCTGATCCATGTTAGACCACACCTGACATGATGACCACATGAGAGGAAAGGCACGACATATTGAGCTAGACCTCACGCTATTAGTAGCACCTCTTTATTATTCTTTACCAAAATTTTTCTGGAATTTAAAATGAAATTCTAAGTTAAATGCATTTGTAGTTGTTTTAACCAGAGTTACAAAAGAAAAACAAGCTAATATTTCATCACCACAGAGCAGACACCAAATTTTCTCAACTCATGATAAATGGTTATACTCCCAATTAGACTCCCTCCCTGGCTGTTGGAACTCAAGTTCTCTTGTGGCCTTGTTAGGGCCAGAAATAAAGACACAAAGAGAGGAATAGAGTTAAACAAATATATTAATAGAAACAATAATACAAACATATACAATCGAGAGTGTTACAGCAAGAATGTTCGGTCCGACTGTCAGAGTTGACTGCTGGAAACTTCCCTCCTAAAAAGACAGTACCTGCTTCTATTTATAGCTTGGAGAGTCAAGGGTAAATTGCCATAACAAGTGGAACTTATATGACCCATAACTAAAGACACTGGAAAAAATGGTTGGTTTGCTGTACCTCTCCGGAAGGTACCTGACTCCTCTTGCCCTGCTCTATATCTTTACAAGGACCAGATCAGACGAAAAACAGGGTATTGCTGCCATGTCTGGACTGGAGCTGCCCAATCCTCACTCTCCAGTCTTGACAGGGTTCAAAAACACTTATGCGGCCTTGTGGGTGATGAATTTTTTTTCCAGCCTAGAACCTCTTTCCCACAGACAAAACATTACAGGCCTCTTGCGACTTTAGTACTATTTTCATGGCAGATGTTTAGGTAAATTCCATTCCTTATTTCCTCCAATCACAGCTAGGACACGCCATGCAACGCACACACAACTGAATTATACTAATTCTCTTCATATTCCATTAGCAAGGAGGAAGTACAACTCAGACAACTTCTTTCTGAAAACTATTGCATTGAAGAATGGACTCCCAAGTGGATGCTTCTCTGATCACTACACTCTTAACCTCTTCAAGTTGATTGTCAACAATTATTTATCCTACATCTCATCATGCTATACAACACTTCCCTCTCTTTATATGCTCTTTCAACATCTCCATTCAGCAACCCTCTACCTTGGGTCTTGTATTGGATGAACAATAGTAAGAAAAAATCATTATGACAAAAGAATTTGAAATTTAATTTCCATTTTCTGAAATAATACGCAATTTTGTTAAGCTTGATCATCAGTTAACATTTAAAATTCAGTTTTTTAGTTGAACATCAGAAGCAATTTGTCAATTCAAGAGAAGCTGAAATGGTCATGTTCTAAGGGAGATAACTCTGTTTAAACTGATAACGATAAAAAAGATGCTTTTATGAGCCCAGAGTGATCTCAAACTTAAACTGTTTTTTATCAAGTTTAGCTTGAATTTCACACGAGGCCACGAGTATGAGGACTCCAGTAGGAATCAAAATCACAACTAATGGTCAACTATACTAGTTCACTAACCATTAATCCACACTAAGATACACTTCTTGTTTTCATTTAACTATCGAAAAAAAATCTCTTTGTTTTATTTAAGTACAGAGGTATGCAAGGTATGTTGTCAGGAAGTGGCTGACGATATACCTTGCAAGAAAATTCTTTGTCTTGTATCTTTTTAATCTGAGGGGTATCTGGAAATGATCCCAAATCCATCATAGATACTAATGAAGGCATTTGGTTTATGCAATGGTTTCCAGGAGCAGCTGATGTTATATTTAACCGCTATGATGTCACACATCCAGTTCAAACCTATTTGGATGGATACAACAGTCTCCAAATTTCTATATAGGTCTCTAATTTTCATTTACTATGACATAGACCAAATGATAATGATGATGTGTGTTGTATCATCTTGCCAGAGAGTAATTTTAAGTGCTTAAATAGCAAGTCCCTTTTGGCATCTATGAATAAAAGGGGCACTGAAGGAGAGTTATCTATGCATATTTGGGACGTTTCATTTCAATGGAGAGGGGTTTGTGGATGATATGTGCAGTTCTGCACAAAGTAATCTTTAGCAGCTCTCAGATTTTGACGTGTCCAGGAATTTTACTCACATGATTTTTGGTACCCTTCTTTATCATACCCAGTACCCCTATCACAAGATATCATAATTTTAAGTTCCCATATCTTTGTAACTATAATTTTATTATTATTATTATTATTATTATTATTATTATTATTATAAATATTTGAACTATATTCAGCTGTTTCTATCCTTGTCTGCTCTAAGTGGACTTAGCAGAGTGAGAGAAAGAACTATTGAAACTACTACTTCAGTTCTCAAATGCCTCACATGTCGAACAAATCAGTTTTCAAACAGAAAATTCGAGATGAAATACCTTGGTTATCAAACAAAATTCTGGTTCTCGAATAACATAGCCGAACCGAGGTAACCTGAATGGAATAATTTCTGAGTCGACCTCCATGTCATATATATTTGTGTGTTGTGTTGTGCTTTTCTTTTCCAATTGTATTGTACTGTGACTTTTTTTCTCTACATTGATTCCTATTGGAAAAATACTTTCGGTTTATGAATGGCCTTCAGGAATGAATTAAATTCGTGAACCGAGGTTCCACTCTATTTGTCTTGCTGAAAATGCTGTTTATGCAGAAATTTTCGAGAGGTAAGAAAACTTCTATGGCAACTTAGTTTTTCTTTGCTCGTAGAACTGTTATTTCACTAGTAATAATAATTTTGCAATAAATTACAATCCAGCACAATTATGACATTTGCGATTTCCATCTGTTTCTTTTTTTTCTTTTGAAGCTTCGTAATCAAGCAGAAGTTGAACTTCGAACCCTGAAAGCAGAATTAATCCAACAAAAAATCAATTTAAATTTGTTACGTAAGCAACAGATCACCAGTGTCGTCCATCATCAGGGAAATTTGGCACCTTCTTCCACAGTCACACCAAGAGAAAATCCTCCATCCGTCAGACAGCCCCCAGGAATGTACACACCAAGACGACAGATTCCACATATTTGAGAGGAAAACAAAGGCATAACATTTTATCCTACCACAAGCCTTTTGTTTATTTATTAGCATATACACAAATATACATATTTTGTTGGTGAATATGAAATTTATAGAACGATCTCCCCCACACTGAGATAGATAGATAGATAGATAGATAGATAGATAGATAGAAACAGAATGAGATTGATAGATAGATAGAAACAGAATGAGATAGATAAATAGATAGATAGAAACAGAATGAGATAGATAGATAGATAGATAGATAGATAGATAGATAGATAGATAGATAGATAGATAGATAGAAACAGAATGAGATAGATAGATAGATAGATAGATAGATAGATAGATAGATAGATAGATAGACAGAGATAGATACATAGATAGAAACACAATGAGATAGATAGAAACAGAATAAGATAGATAAATAGATAGATAGAAACAGAATGTGATAGATAGAAACAGAATAAGATAGATAGATAGATAGATAGATAGATAGATAGATAGATAGATAGATAGATAGATTGTGGACATAGGAATCAACACTGATTGGAGATTGTCAGTTTTCCTTCTCAAGGAATCTCCAAGCCTCCACTGGTGTGAAGAGCACTTCAGACAGAAAATTGACAGTCACCATTCAGTGATGATTCCTATGTCCACACTGTTTATATCTATTAATGCTCTATTTTGTAGATAGTGACAGTCTCAGAACTGTCATCAACTCTATATATTTGGACTAGTAGTTTTATACCTCAAACAATACTGTATTGATTCCTATGCCAACACTATCTATCTATCTATCTATCTATCTATCTATCTATCTATCTATCTATCTATCTATCTATCTATCTATCTATCTCAACCTGTTCCCTATCTATCTATCTATCTATCTATCTATCTATCTATCTATCTATCTATCTATCTCAACCTGTTCCCTATCTATCTATCTATCTATCTATCCATCATCCATCTATCTATCTATCTATCTATCTCAACCTGTTCTATCTATCTATCTATCTATCTATCTATCTATCTATCTATCTATCTATCTATCTATCTATCTATCTCAACCTGTTCCCTATCTATCTATCTATCTATCTATCTATCTATCTATCTATCTATCTATCTATCTATCTCAACCTATCTATCTATCATCTATCTATCTATCTATCTATCTATCTATCTATCTCAACCTGTTCCCTATCTATCTATCTATCTATCTATCATCTATCTATCTATCTATCTATCTATCTATCTCAACCTGTTCCCTATCTATCTATCTATCTATCTATCTATCTATCTATCTATCTATCTATCTATCTCTATTTAACACCAATCAGCTAAGTGACAAACAATGATAAAATAAAAGAACAAATATGAAATGTATATAAATCTAATATGTTTCACTTTATTAAAGTTTCATCAGAGATTGAGAGAAAACAGACAAAAAGACAGAAAACACTGATATTTTCAATTCTGTTTGGGTCACTTCTCATTAGCCAGACATTTGTTACGTGTCTTAAAACTGTAGATAATTCTATGTGTATGTAGGTTTGTGTTGATTCTTGTATGTCTAAGTGGGTATCGAATGGTAGCAGTCAACCACACAATGGTGAAAATAGAACTCCCACTAGACAGACACACATGCACAATTACAAATACATGAACAAAGAGCAGTGATCTGAATCTGCAGAGCACAAGCTACCTCATCAATGATAACTCACCGGTTCGCCATTACCATCTCTCGAGCTTGCTGAATCTTATCGTCTGTGATGGAGGTTGATGGGCATCCTGCTCCTTCTTCATGCGTCACACTTGTCCAGACACTTCTAAACTTCTCGATCCACTCATACACACTTTTACACGGTAGTGCACTGTTGCTGTACTATGTCAAAAGTCCCCAACAAGATAAATTATTTTCACTACTCTTTGTTCTGATGCACACTGCTGGTGGAGCGGACAAGTTTACATTGTAACAGCGGCAAGAAAATTGGCACAATCAAGACAATATATGTATATTTATAACATAAAAAATAACATTTTGTTTAATTTCCCATTTGCATTACTATTTCTTACAAGTTGATTTTCAAAATGGTTAACTGTATTTTACTGGAGCACCCAGGGGGATATGTTCCAAAATCGTAAAAGAAAAATAGAAATATGAAAATAATATGGTTTAATTCACTACATAATAATAGATATGAATATAGGATATTTTTTTAACTTTTAGATAAACACTTTCATAAATCATACAAATTAATAAAATGTTTGACAGAAACACCACAAACACTAATTACAGTTGCAAGGATAACACTGAATAGATAATAATAAAAATCATGAAATAGCAAGAATATATGAACACAAGCAAAAAATGTAATTGTAGAAATAAAACTAAAAATGTTTCCTGCAGGGAAATTACAGAGAGGATAATTTATTATACCAAGTGAAAGTTAGCAACAAAAAAACATGAAAGAAGAAAGAATACAATAACAAAAATGCTGTAAAATGGCAGTTACCCAAACAAAAACTTTCATGTATTAAAAAAAAAAGCTTTTTTAAAGGAATTTTAAAAATAGAATGCTCTTATAAACATAATTAAACAGTATTTACAAATTATGAGATGAAAACCAGTTGAATGATTTAAATTTTTCCCTTTGACATTTCTCTCCTTTCACGAGAGCAGTACCAAAACAAACATTTAAGGAAAATTCATTACGATGGCAAACCTGCTACTTAAAAACACTGTGGTTAATTAGCGGAGAATGTAATTACTTCTCTAGTTGTCAGGCCTTAAAACTTGACAACTTCTTGTTTAAAACTTTGTAAATGCCTCCAATTCACTATAAAGATTTTGCCATCAGGTCAGTTAATGTTAAAGGATCCATGAAAAAAGAAAATCAAGAATTATTGGCTCAGGACATTCATAATAACATTGATGTGTGATGTCTCCAACAAACCAAAATCAAAGAAAGAATTGATATTAATTTAATATAAGAGTTAGATAGCAGAAGTCAATAGTTTTGGAAACAGTAAATATTGTAGTTTTGTGTCATCAATACCAAATGAAAAAATAACATCCATCAACACTGGAAGAACAACTATAGTATGCACATTGAACATTGAAAGAACGATCAAGAAAATTCCATCATTTGCCGTAAAATCTTTGAACAGTTTGAAAGACCTGTGGCACTCTTGGGAGTTCACTAAGGACACTGAGGTTTAGAGAAAGGTGATAAGTTGCTGAAAATAAGAAATCACACTGATTTGCAATGTGACTTCAAGTCAAAACTACTACTACTACTACTACTACTGCTGCTGCTGTTGCTGCTACTACTACTACTACTACTTCCTCCTTTGATTTCTGGTGTATACTCATTTCTTTCCGGTTCCCAACCAGAGACCTAAGATTAGAAATGGCATCAAGACATTTTCTACTGAACAGTTTTGAAAAAAAAAAAGGTCACACATTTTACATAGATAAAGCTCTTCATAAGGTGTGGACTGTATTTGTGATAATAATAATAATAATAATAATAATAATAAAATCGAAATCTCAGAAATGTGGCACATTGGAACATCAACAATCCCTGTTGTAGTTGGAGCCCTCGGATTGATTGGAAAAGATTGAAGGGATTCCTGGAAGCCCATGTCTTAAAGAAATAAAAAAATTGTTCTCACGAGTACAGCCCACACCTTATGAAGGGCTTTATCTATGTAAAATATGTGTGTGCATGTGCTTTTTTTTTTAATTGGTCAGTGGAAAATGTCATGATGCCATTTCTAACCTTAGGTCTCTGGTGGGGACCCGGAAAGAAATGAGTATACACCAGAAATCAAAGAAAATAATAATAATAATAATAATAATAATAATAACTATTTATATAGTTATATATATATATATATTTTAATATATTTTATTGTTATACATTACTTATATAGACATAAATATTTTAGTCAATGCTCTGTAAAGGCTTGTAAATGTTGTTAATACTGTTTATTATAAACAGAGTATTTACTTAAATATCTGTGTCTATATTAATAATGTATAACAATAAAATATATTAAAATAGTTATAAATATATATATATATATATATATATATATATATATAAAGTTAACAGTTAATAAATTAAAATATATATACGTGAACAAATCAATCTTATTTCTATATATGTAACATGTTCGAATAAAATGGTTAAATTTATTCATTATAAATCATCTCGAAGGCATATTAAATCAGTCAAGATATCCAAATTCAATCTGATTAATAAAAAAGGTAGGCTTTTTTAAAATATCACATTTCTGAAGCTAAGGTACTATTTAAAGAAAATGATATTAAAATAGATACTGCAAAATATCTTAATAAAATGTTGATTTTGATTTGGTCGATTATGTTTAGCGACCTCTATGGGTTATTTAATGCCGAAATCTAAATATTTTGAACAATTTTATGCCTTCAACAAAATATATTTTAAACGCAATTGTATGCCTTCAACTACAGATAAAATGTATTGTTGGTCATTTTACTATAAATATGTATTGCTGGTAATTTTTTTTGTATAACAATGTATTGCTGGTATTTTTACTATAAAAATGTATTTTTATACTTTCATAGTGTTTTGTTTTTGTTTGGGATTAACTATTTGCTCATAGTTGGGACCCTAATAGTTGCTACCACCTCGGGTCAGGGTGGATCTGGGAACAACAGCAATTAAGTGGTAATTCCATTCTACTGAAAACCTTCAATCTTCCGATCAGAGGCCTTGCTGCCGGATGTAGTTTATCATCATACTCAGGACTAAAGATGTTAATTAAATTTTTTACCTAAATATCATAAATTATATTTCTAATTATAAATTTTTATGAGTTTGTTTGAATATATATGTTTTATTTTTGGCACACAACCCTCTTCCATCCACCATACTTACTTTCTGTTTTGTTTTTTCACATTTTATTTTTAACATGTGTACAAATCTCGTTGATTTGTTCACGGATATATTTTTAAATTTTAT